ATAGATAGATAGATAGATAGATAGATAGATAGATAGATAGATAGATACATAGATAGATACATAGATACATAGATACATAGATACATAGATAGATATTTGTCTGTGAAACCACACAACTTTAACAAGTAATTGTGGGTTATTTGCTTCAAACGCATGCCTCTGCTATTAAACCCGTGTCTATTTGCGGCTTCACGCTCCTACTGTGAGCGTCAGAGCAACCCATGAGTTTCCACTGTGCCCCAGTTATCAGTGACTAATGCCAGTGTTTTCCTTCAACCGAAGGAACCTCGCAGTAACCCAAACATCTGTATCTTCCAGCACCATAAAACACCAGCGAGTGAGAGCTGTGTGTGTGTGTGTGTGTGTGTGTGGCCGGGTTTGTGGAACAGCAGCTTACATTCTCAGCTTGGCATCAGTGAGACGCCGTGTTTGGGGGACCATCATCGCAGCCAACCAAACAACAGCAAGCGCTCTCTTTGCTGTTGTTTGGCTTTTGAACGAGTAGTGTGACATTTTGGGAATTCTAAACACTAACGATGATCTCGAGACTTAAATGAGGAGACAGATAACGCAATTCTGCAAATGTGTAATCCATAAAAATTCGACTCAAATGGCGAGATAATCAGCCCGTACATATTTTAAGACCTATTATGAAAGGTCACACAGTGAGGCAAAGCACAGCCCAATGAAAAGTCGCCCCGATTAGTCTGACAGGACATTTATTCTCATTTACAGCTGTTCATTTGCCTTTTGGGGGCTCATCTGGAGAAACACTGATTTACACTTTTCTCTGATGGTCGCCTTCTGACAGACTAGACACCGCTGTGGTTGTTAGGGAGCTGCATTGCCTGTAATTGATTAGCGTGTTATTATAAAGCATGTCTGTGTAAATAATCTGCGGCCAGCTGATGTCACAGCCTGTGGCTTGAAAAATTAAATTGGATAAACCGCATTTGCTTACCACTGGGGAACACTTTAGCCATGTTTATGTGACGGGAATTTAAAAAAAAATAGTCACACAGCTAGGACTAAATTAAATCACTTAAGATAAGAAACAAAACCTAATTTTTACAAAATGCATTTGAACTCTTTGGACCTTTTTTTTTTCTTTTGCTATATGATTTCTAATAATCAGAAGGTTCTGTGTGCTCACCTGAGTCTTAAATAATAAGCATGTTTACCCCAAAATGTCAAACTTTTAGTGTTGCATCCCGTGCCAGTTTGAACTCTCTTCGTTCAGACTGGCTTTAATAGTCTCCCCTCTCCGCCCGTGTCCAGCTGAAGACCCGGGAGGGAATGCCAGGGAGCTGCATTCTGCTTGGAGTGTCCTGAAGATAGACTGCGCTCCCGGAACCGCCGGGACGGCAGCCACTCAGCGCACGGCAGCCAGGAAGCGCAGCAGCCAGTGCCTGCTGTAGACTTTTAAGGAACGTCGACTCAGCGCCGCCACCTCTGACCTCTATTCCCAAACAGCCAAGTCCCGCCCCTCCGTTCCTCTCATTCCACACACCTCCAGCCGTGAAAAAAAGACTGTCGTTCTTTTCTCTTTGGGGCCGTTACGTGCACGGTATAATCTGCACCTCAAGCCTTAGCAGACCCCCTTCCACCTATCACACACACACACACACTATTGTCTTTGAGTGACACGGCCGATGATTTGCCTTGTTGTGTATCGGACAGAGAGTTGATGGAAATGTGCCTCAGGTGGTTTCAGACGGAACTGGCTGAAGAAGGGTGCGGTTTTCACCAGGTCAGGGGGTTATATTACAGAAACATTCTGGTCTGAGTGAGTGAGCATGAGTGCTCGCGTTATGTTAAAAGAGTTGGACAAAAGATTGGATGACGTAAGCCAAAAAGTTTCCATAATACACCCTCTTATTTGCGTTTACTCAGAGCCAGGAAACCCGTGGATGGGAAAAAAAAAAGGGTTTTGCATGTTTAAAATGGCGTGTGGGAAGGATTTTGCAGGCATGTGTACACACACACACGAACACACAAACACTATTTTAATATGATGTCTGTGTGTGATTGAACACAGCTCACTCAAAGACAAGACCACCTCACCTTAAAAAAAACTGCCACAGAAATGTAAGCTTACTCTTGGTGGCTTTTATTAACAAGGACATTTTTTTGCTAATGCGATGCAAAAAAAAAAGAAAAAGCAAACCTGCAGTGCATCTTTACACCAGACGGGGGAATGTACCGTAGGTATGTTGTGTAGGTGTATTCATAGATGAAGAATATAAATGATTCGTCAGCCCTTAATACAGCAATGCAAGCAAAAAGGTCCCAAAGGTGTGTTAGTGGCCTCAAACTGCGAAATAGAAAGTATCAAATCCATAAAACAGAGGGGAACCAGGTCCATCAGAGTGGGCTGGATGTAAGAGGAGGTTAAATGGATCCAGGCTAAACACGCGTAATCACTCCTCTGTAGGAGTTCTCATATGAGCATGTGCAATAATGATGTTTTTCGTCTGAACCTATGCTGCACTGGACTATTATTCACGTAATTCTCATAATCACGTTTTTTCGACACGGCGAGTGTCGCGATTGTACTTTTTTCTTGTGTGTCGATGCATGACAGAGTTTGAAAATGAAAAGCTGAGTAATGGACTGCCTTTACTAGCCAAAGTTTGAGCTTTACACTCTTTTCCTCTGACTTGCCTTATCCATGTGAATGATAAGTTTGGATCAGCCACAAGGTTACCTACGTGTCTTTATCCTTTTGTTGATTTTTCAACCTCTGAGGGACTTTGGAGCCACAGAGATGGTAAACTATTGGACATAAGGTTCAGTTCATTTAGAACTGCCACAGAGATGAGCTTTTTATTTTTTATTTTTCTTGTTTTGGACCAAAACTCACCAGCTTTAAAAAAACAACAACAACACACACACACACAGGGCCATTTGCTATTTTCTTGTCTTGTTTTTTTTTGTCTTGGTTCAAGCCGTCTTAGCATTCCCATGGCAAAGGCAAAGGAGACTAAGTTCTTACGAATGACACAAACTTTGGCAGGCTGCTTTTCTGGGTCAGCGTTCAGCCGCTCGCTTCACATACAACAGTTCAGCTTCACACGTGGTTTGATGTGTTTTATTGCTGTACATTTGCCATTTTGTGCTGTAAATAGTCAGCTTCTCTGTCAGGAGCATGTGTGGGCGAGCGTTAGAACATCCAACATTTGCTTATTGCAAAGTTGATAATCTGGGTGGCCGTGCAATAGCTGGATATACTTTGTTTTGATGTTAAACATCACTTTATTATGTGTGTATTTTTGCTATCATCACGTCCTGCGGTGTGTGCTTGAAGATTTTGACACTTTGACGCAATTAGTCACATAAGCTGCATCACATAAGTAATCAAACTATGCCTTCATGATATTTAAGGCACTGAACGCCTGTCATCTATGAAGAATAAAAGTTGCTTCGCTTGCCTTTAAATTTAGACTGAGAGTGAGTGGTAGGAATTGCCTTGAAAGAGCATCTACCCGAGTTGTGCCAAATTAGGTTTTGTTTCAGGAAGAAAGCTGAAGAGAAACGTTGCCATGTATTTCACTGCAAGGTGTGAAGTGAAAGGGGGAGGTTTTTTGTTTTGTTTTGTTTTTAAAGAAGCCTGTACTTTTTAACAAAAAGAAAAAGCCAGCTTTTGAATCGAGCACCTTGTTGTGAGCGTGAACAAAGCCTTTTAGCTCGTTGTTAAGAAGGGAATCAAACAGCGCTGCGTGTCCTGGGTGCAGAGATGCACATGTATATACTGCAAACTGATTGGTGCAGATTTTTTTCTGAGCTTGTGCGTAATGAACTAGAAAGCCGATACAGGTCCTGTAAGGAGCCTGTGTCTGATCTGGTGTGTTGTGTTAAGTATTAGCAACCAAGGATTTTGGGAACGAACGAATAAAACACTAAAATGAAAAGCTTCTGTGGTTTACTTCTGTGTGCCAGATCTTATTGGTTTTTAGCTGTGGATACCCACCGAATTCACCTTCATGTGCCAAGTAGACAAAGGCTTGTGCTGTATATAATCAGAATAACTTAAAAACTAGTGGAAACAATGGATTAAGGCACACCAGTGTCATCCTAAATCACTTCAACAAGGTGAGGCCTCAAAGCCCACAACCTGAGAACAAACATGTCAAGGAGTTACTTTCAGCTTCTGCGAAAAGACAAATATTGATGCTTTTCTAACACCAGTGAGAGTTCTAATGGGCCTTGAAAATGTGCCCTAAAGTGCGGCATAAAAGCTGCGCGAGTGTCAGCAAATAACATGATGAGCAGGAACCCAGAGAATTCACTCTCAAGAGTGACAAAGAAGACAAACAGGCTTGGATTTCTGGATGAGAAAGTCCTGTTTTTATTTTTTTCAAACAAGTAAAACCTTGTAAAGTGGATTCTCATACTGCTTCTGCAAAGCATTTTAACACATTCATGAAACAGCTGCAAAATTAAAGTTTTTTTTTCTTCTTTTTTTTGGTTTTACCATTAAAACTCCACAAACACACTCTGTTATCAAATCTGTGAGTCTAAAAATCTCTTTGGACAAAACTTCACAGCCAAGCTCAACATTCAGTAAATGCTTTTAGCATATCTAGCCAAACACGGGATTTATGAAAGCTCTTTAATAAGTAAAGAGTTCACCAACCGTGAACATTAATGTGCAATTATACAGTACAACACTCACCATTCCAAATAATATAGAGTAGCTTAAACAGCTTAATATAGAATAGCTTGTGAGCATGCACACAATCAAATTCTTCACAATATTTAATTTCATGGCAACTCCTCATCGTAGCCCTGTGAATTCAAAGTGGTGATGATCACTTTCTGAAAGAGGCAGACACTCTGAAACCGTTTGCGTGTGCAGGCCTCAAACAGCGTACCCATGTCTGGTGAAGAATCTGAAAGCGCGACCATGGAGAGCACGGCCAGTCTTTCAAATCTACAGAAAAAAGCCCTAAATCGGATGAGAGGAGCTACAGTACGAGAGCCGTTTGCTGCATAGTTAAAAGCTCACATCACCACTCCTACTCACAGGATGCTAAAGTGCTCACAAGCGTATTTCAGGACGAAGGCAACAGAAACTTAACACAGACTTGTGACCGCATTCCTCAGCTGGACGGTCGACTCCCTTTTGAACCAAATCCGTAGCGACCGCCACCGACAGTTGGTAGAATCCCGGCTCCACCTGTAGTTCAGCTGGCGTTTGGGCTTCTACTGAGCAGCTCACACCTCTGGGTCTACCCGGTCTGGGTCATTAAGAATACATAAATGCTTTTGTGGCAAATTATTGCACGTCAAGTTAAACCACTGCTGAGCCCTCAGGTCACTCCGTTTAAGTGTGCGTTCCAGCAGCAAACTTAAAAACAGAATCCATGGTTCTTCAGATCAAACTGAGGGACCAAACCAGCATCATTCAAGAACGACGACACATCTCTCACGGGTCCTTACCCTCATAAGATTAAATTACATTTTACACTTTTTTGTTGTTGTTGTTGTTTTCATTTTTGCCAAGAAACACAGTGTTTTAGTCACCAATAAAAGCCACAGTACAGTTGTGATATCTCCCTTAAACACAACTAAGAAACACACGCTTTGTTATCTTTGTTCAGAGCCCTGTGTGCAGAGGTGAAACCTCACTCAGTGCTATCGCTCTTTAGCCCGCCTGTAAACGTGTTCCAGTGCAAGTTTTAGACTAAAAGTAATGATGAGCACCCCCCAAAAAAAGAAAATACGAACAAGCTGCTCTGTTGGAGCCGCGGGACGTGCCTGAGCGGAGCTTTAGATGGGCTTGTAGAGCAGAGAGGTGACGTACTTCTTTTTGTATCTGTGAGTGGCACTCAACACCATCACTCCATCCTACACACAAGAGGAAAAAAACACACAAAACAGTAAGAACCACCTACAAACCAAATGCGCCCCATAAGAGATGCCAACACTTGTTTAAATGCCACACAATAAGAGGGAATTGGGATCCAATTTGACAAAAAAAATCTGAAAAAAAAATTAAAAAGCATACACTCCTTTAACCGTCTTGAATTAAATCCCATTTATGGAAACCACGAGGTAGCATGAGCCCCCTACCTTTATGGAAAGAGCATAGAGGTGATTTAGCATGACGTGGTTGGGTTCAGGCAGCAGGGCAGGATCACACTGAGAGAACAAACAGAGAAGAACAAAGACAAAAAGGGGAGGAAAGGTGAGATACCGAGTCTGTGAACAGGACACACTGAAAGGCAGTGGAGAACACTGACGGATATGTTGGTGTCTTTGTTGAGAATGACTTGAAGCAGGTGAGGCGGGAGTATGGGCGGAGCTTTGAAGTGCTCCTCGGGTCTGCAGACATACTGCTCCTGGCCATAGGGTCCAGGAGGGGAGCTGGACAGGTCTGTGGAGACACAAAAAAAAGTCTTTATTGCGTAACTGATGCTAAATTCATGCACACTTTGTAGGGTTTGACGACCACTAACAAATCCATATTTTCAATCCAAACAGCAGACGAGACGACTGTGTGAAATACAAACACGTACAAAGTGAGACGGAGATGGGAGGGAGCGGGCTGAATAAAAACAGAATTGGCGTATCTGAGTGCAGGCAGACCTGACGTGTCGGAGCTTTCCAGAGAGTCCACCTGCAGGGCGTCAAACACCTCAAAGTCGGACTTCTTCACCTGGATCAGGTTGTTGATGGTGCCGAGCTGGCTGGTAACCACCGGCTGCAAAACAGGGCGACAATCCCAGAGGTGATGACGCGGCAATTGTTCGATCAGTTAGTGAGGCAGCAGGTTAAAGGGGACAAACAAGGAGTGGTCAAGCATCAAATGCAGGTCGGCTGTGGGTCACTGAGCAGCACTGGCTTAGACTAATGTGACCCACATTGTCCACTTTACCGCCAACAGGAAAACTCATTGCTGTTTCGTGATTTCTAAAAATAAAGAGTTTTCTTAGAATACAATTTCTGAGTCTTGATTCTTAATTTATTGCTGTTTCAAAAATAAGTTTTAAATATTATGTAAATTGTTATACAGCCAAATATGAATAGTTTATTTTAAGTAATAAGATTATTAAGTTAATAAGGCCACATTTTACTGTTCTGATTTAGATGCCATGTCAACCAATCAGAGTTCAGAGTTTCAAAATATCAACCATATGCTATATGTCCCTTTCATTTCTTAGCTTCATTAACTATCCAATAATTAATACTATATATTAGGTACCCGAATTTGTATTTCTATTAGCGTCTATTTACTCAATATATTCCAAACTCCATGGTACATGGAGTACAGCATACAATAGTTTTAGGTCAGTTAGCAGAACTTCAAGTATCCTCGCTGTAATGTATTCAGAGAATTCCTTTTCCCTGTCCACTGAGTATGAGGACCTCTGAGTGACCAAATTTAGCATAAAGAATGAAAATAAAAATGTTAAAAATGCAGCAGTTCAGTCCGGTCACACAGTCAGTGGAGTTGAAATGACTATCAGTTATAATTCAATAATAACTTCCTGCCTTAAAAATAGAAATCATTTAAATGACTGTACTGTATTGAAAAGACTCTCAAAACAAAAATCAAAGATCCCATCATTGGTTCTTATTTCTATGTGGGAGGAGACAACCCTCTCAGAGTGCACATTGAAACTCTGGCTGGGAGGCTGTGCTCCTTATTTTAAATAAAGGACAAAATCAACAACAGCAACAACCAGTAAAGTGTGGGGTTGAAATATAACTCTTACTTCCTGTTGATGGACACTTTCAGGCTCAGCACACAGTGAAAAAGTAATGGTTTATCATTTTAAGTAAAAATAAAATAGTTTAAAAAAAACAAGAACAATAAAGAATTCATTTGCACGTTTGGAAAATCACAATAAAGCACAAAAGGGACGGTGCTATACCTCTGAAGGATCATGGACCCACTGTCCATCTACAAAAAACTTGTACTGGTGCTCTCCCTCAGGCAGGTCCAGAATTGCTACAAAGTCATTATGACTTTAAACAGAGATAGGAAATAATTGTCTTACAATTATGTTCCACCATGAAGACACTCATTGAATTTATGTATAGAGCTAAATAACCATCTTTACCTCTTATTTAGGGGTATTTTTGTGCACCAGTTGTTGAACGAACCAGCTATGTAAACCTCCTTCCCCCCTCCTGCCCAGCGAATCACAGTGGGGCGAGCCTGAGGACCCGTTTTAACCAGGTCGTCCATATCTGGGGTGAATTCTTTCTCTCCTGACGTCTGAAAGAAATAAAAATACAGATCTAAACAGCAAGCCTTTTAAGGAGAAGTGCTTTGGCCTTCAGTGCTGCACACATACTTTGGATCCACGTGTGTTGAAAATGTTGGGGTCGTCTGTGCTGTCCACCATCTTGCTGCTGGGCTCTTGGTCTTTGTGACTCCCGCTGCTGTCAGAACGATGGGCTTTGGCGCCATGGCGATCCCCCGACACCCTGTCGCTTGTGTTGCCCATAATTCTACTGATATTGTGCCACTAAAACAACAGGACCTTTACGTTAGTTATTATTTCCCTCAACTTGAGTCATCAACCCTTTATCTCATTAAATTAAAAAATTGAAGAAAAAAAAGCAGAAATAAAGGCGATTTCTTTAAGCTTTTAAAGCTTTCGATAACCAAAATAAAAACAATCGATGTGTCACATCATACTGAATTGTTTCTAAAAACAACATTTTTGTAAATACATTCAGTTTTATCAATACATTGGCAGACACATAATCAAACTGTAACTCATTGGTGACTCGGACTATGATTTGTACTGTCATTTTATGATACATAAATAAGACAGTCCATCTATCCTATCTTATGTACACCTTATTATTCCACTGTGATGTTCAAAATCAGTAGGTTTACTGTCCCATAGTGTGGGAACAGTTCCAGTTTTTAGTGATCATCATTAGTGATCATCAATGCAGGCTGTGTCGCATTTTTCCCCTCAGAGCTGTTTTTCCATTTTTCTCATTAATGGACTCTAGTGCACACTTTAGATGATCATTTATTAGTGATTCAAATCTAATAACATCACTGAAATCTTCAATATTTTCTTGACTTTCCAATTTTTAAAAAAAGCAAAGCTCCTATAACGACTGGCTTGATGTTAGAGGGGCATCAATTAGCTTATTGTCACCATGGTGATTCCGAGTATTATTAAGAATGTGGTTGGAGAGACGAGCGGTTGTAACTGAAATGGCATTTCGACGTTGCAAAACGATAAACAACTATCCGATTCACCCGAAAGGCTAAACGGCTTTCCAGAAAGGCTAAAAGGCTTATCGTCGAGTGGCTAGACAGCTGAAGCGAGTTAACAGACTGACACGATCTTCTGTGAACCTGGACTTGCCAGAACAAATCCCCCCGGCAGTAGCGCCTAACATAAACACAGTCGTTTTGTGGAATATAAAACACAGTTCTGCACCGTCACTTACCACCCCGCACCCCCGGGCTCAACAAGTTTAAACCTCTTAAGTATCCTTTAAAATAAAGTTCCTCATACAAGCATATCTTCAGAACAAAACGGCGAGCGTCTGCTGGTTGTCGCCTACCGTAGTATCCCCGATTTATGTTCGGCTGTGCCCGCCCACCCCTGCTCACCCCAGGAGAATATTTTTAGCTGCGGCTCGCAGTTAAAGTCAGCTAGCTGCTAGCTGTCAGTGACAACAAACTTGTAACTCGATTAAAACATTTGCCCCAAGTTAATAATATCGGCCGCAAAACTAAAAAAAAAAAAGAAAAACACTTAATATGGCAGTTTTTTTATTCACCGTGTAATAATAACAAAAGCAAAGACTCACCGACAGGAGCTGCCTTGCCTCTGACAGCAAGAGGAGGATCTGACATTACCCAGGGTCCACCCCTACAACAACTACGTCACCGCCGTGCCCCAACTACGGCGAGCGGGGAGGATCATAATACTTGTAATCCTAATCATGTAGCTAGGTTGGAATTAATATGATTTTCATTAATGATATTGAAGTATACATTTAAATACACAAGTTATCCATAGGTTTGCTTTTATCTAAGAAGAACACTTTCACCACCTCAAATGTATTAAATCTCTATAATTTTACCATGTAAGTTGGCATCCATCCATCCATCGTCCACCGCTTCACCAGGGTCGGGTCGCGGGGGCCGCAGCCTGAGCAGAGAAACCCAGACTTCCCTATCCTCTGCCACTTCTGATAGCTTTTCCAGGGGGATCCCAAGGCGTTCCCAGGCCAGCCGGGAGACATCTCCTGCGTGTCCTGGGTCTTCCCTCTGTTCCCCCTTTCAGTGGGACGTGCCCAGAACACCTCACCAGGGAAGCGACCAGGAGGCATCCTAATCAGATGCCCGAGCCACCTTAACTGGTTCCTTTCAACATGGTGGAGCAGCAGCTCTCTCTTCATCACGACAGACCAGTATAGGGCCCGCATTACTGCCGATGCAGCACCGATTCGCCTGTTGATCCCCTGCTCCATTTTACCCCCATTTGCGAACAAGACCCCGAGGTTTTTAAACTCCTAGACTCGGAGAAAGACATCCCCGCTGAGCCGGAAGAGACACTCAATCCTTTCCGGTGAGAGACCATAGTCTTTGAAAGCCATAGATTTGGACCCACTGATCCTCATCCCAGCGGCTTCACAATTGGCTGCTAACCGCTCCAGCGAGAGCTGTCGATCACGAAACCAAAAGGACTATGTCATCTGTGAAAAGCAGAGATGCAAACCCAAGGCCACCAAGATGGACACCTTCAACACCTTGGCTGCACCTAGACATTCTGTCCATAAAAGTTATGAACAGAATCGGTGACAAAGGGCAACATTGGAGTCAAGCTCTCACTGGAAATTGGCCTGACTTACTACCGGCGATGCGGACCAAGCTCTGACTCTGGTCGTACAGGGACCAAACAGCCCGTAACAAAGTGCCTGGTACACTAGCCTGGTACTCCATACTCCCAGAGCACCCCACACAGGATTCCCCGAGGGACATAGTCGAACGCCTTCTCCAAGTCCACAAAACACATGTAGACTCTTTGGGTGCCCATTGGCTGCCTCTGGAGTCCCACAGGCCAAAAAGGCCGGATAGGACGCCTTCTTCAGCCTGACCGCATCCATCACCGCTATTGTCTACCAGGGTGTTCGAGGGTTACTGCCACGGCAGGTGCCGACAACCCTGCAGCCGCAGCTCCGGGAGGCCATCTCGGCAATGGAGGCGTGGAACATGGCCCGCTCAGACTCAGTGTCCCCGAACCTCACCCGGAACGTGATCAACGCTCTCACGGATGTGGGAGTTAAAGCTCCGTTTAACGGTGGACTCTGCCAGGCGCGCCCAGCAGACCCCCACAATGCATTTGGGCCTGTCTCACCACCAAGTAGTGGTCAGTGGAAGGCTCCACCCCCTCTTCACCCGAGTGTCCAAAACCACATATCATTGGAAACGACAACAAAATCAATTATTTTCAATGCAGCTTAGGGTGTCCTGGTTGCAAAAGCTCATATGACACCCTTATGGTGGTCGTTATGGACAATCCATGCTCAGCACAGAAATCCAATAACAAAACACCACTCAGGCTCAAGTTGGGGGGGGTCCATTCCTCCCAACCACACTCCTCCAAGTCTCGCTGTCATTGCCCACGTGAGCACTGAAGTCCCTCAGTAGAACAAGTTAGTCCCTAGGAGGGACTAAGGACTCCAAAAAGGGTGGGTAATCTGCACTGTCGTTCAGTGCATAAGCTCAAACAACAGTCAGCACCTGTCCCCCCAGGCCGAAAGCGTACAGGCACCAAGATGGGGACAACAAGTATGCCCTCACCTCATGCTCAGCACCTCTCACCGAGGTAAACTCCTGAATAGAAGAGTGTCCAGCCCCTATCAAGAAGACTGGTTCGAGAGTCAGAGCTGTGTGTCGAGGCGATACTGATTAAATCTAGCTGGAATCTCTCCGCCTCGCACACCAACTCAGGCTCCTTCCCTACCAGAAAGATGACATTCCACGTCCAAAGTCAGCTTCTGGAGCCGGGGATTGGTTCACCAATTGGTTTGTCTCCAGCCACTACTCCAATCACATCACACCCGACCCCTTTGGCCCCTCCAATGAGTGGTGAGCCCAATGGACGGGGGACCCGTGTGGCCTCTTCGGGCTGAGCCAGGCCGGGCTACATGGGTGAAAGCCCGAACCACCAGGCACTCACCAACGTACCCCACCTCCGGGCCTGACTACAGAGTGGGGCCCCGGTGGCCTGCGTCCAAGCGAGGGTACACGTGGTCCATTTCATCATAAGGGTCTTTGAGCTGCGCTTCTTCTGATCCCTCTTCTAGGACCTGTTTGCCTTGGGTGACCCTACCAGGGGCTTAAAGCCCCGGACAGCATAGCTCCTAGGATCATTGGGATACTCAAACTCCTCCACCACGGTAAAGTGGCAGCCCAGGGAGGGGCAAAGGATGAGTTGGCAAAGGAAGATATGTACTATTGTAACAATCTTTTATTTACAATTCAAACTTTTTTCCGATTGATTCACAAAAATCAGAACACCGTCTCAATGTGCAGAAATTTATAACAGCTCCATCAAATAATGACATCTGTCACTAAACTTCTCACATGGCTTCTTTTCAATACGGTGACTTGGATGTTTCAAACACACAGCCCCATCCCAGCTGTTATGGCTAATCAGTCCTTGTCCAGATGTTTTGCGTTTGAGGCACCATATTTTCCAGGACTTTTAAGGGATGTGAGGTGGTTGAAGACACCCCCTCACCAGGCAAGTGTAAACTGTGTCCAGTCACAAATATACGTATGCGGTATTTAGACTTTTTTCTTAATTTGTTATATTGAATTTATTTTTGGCATGTTTTGAGTTTGCTTTTAATATGTCTCTCTCTTTCTCTGAGGTCACTTGGGGAACAGCAGTCATGGAGGCGCCATGACTTGGCTGACAGGGCCCTGTGTGGTCAATTGGCTGGATAGCACTTACCAGGTATCCTGAGGAGAGAGGGAGGAGTCTGGTTAAATAAGTTTGTTTATTTTTGTTGTTGTAGTTGTTTTAAGTTAGAGGAAAATGGAAGTAGTCATACCACAGAATATGTTGTGTGTCTGAGTATACGATGGCTGGGTGAAAACTGTATATTTTTAAATAACAAACGAGAATATTGTCTCGTTTGTTATGAGGGGCACCTGTAATGTGAACTGGATGGGCATGACCCATAGTGATTTAATTGTGAAGATAAGATGCTTTTTCCGGCTGTATCAAAAGTATGTCTGTTGTACCAAAAGATTGTTACTAAAATAGATTCAAGTGGTTTTGCATTTCTGAGTGCACATGAGTGGGCGTTGCCATATTGGCAAACGTATTGGGTTGCTTTTTTTCAAAGGAGAAACCTAACAGATTTTGTAAAACCCATTTGGTTAACATGCTTTAATTAAACAAATTCTGGTGTGCATTGCAGAAGCATGTAGAGTTAGCTGATATGTTCTGTTTTAGATTTTGTCACTTTTAGTTACTCTTGTGAAAGGTTCAGTCTGCTCAGATTAGTGAGCTGACTGATCAGAAATAGTGCCATCAGAGGGAAATGCTTAGGATGGAGGAGTTCTAGCCTGGCCTAATATACTAATTATATTCAGTGTGATTAAGATGTGTTGATGAAAACCAAACTCTGTGGGATTTTGGCTTTAAAAGCTTTTACATTAACAGAAAAATACAAAACTACAGAAGGGTGGGAAAAACAGAAACATTTCATGATCTCTTTAAAGCAATTCACTTTGCACTTCGGTAAATGTATTTAGGTACATTTTTAATCTGCTGCAAAAAATAAATACATGAAAAACTATTAAAAAGCAATTGGATACATAAAGATCAGATTCTTATGATAAGCATTTGTTTTTGGAAGAGGTGAAAATGCAGTACAATGGAAATAGTTCTGCAAGTAACAGCTAACATCACAAACTACAAGTCCACACAGAGCTGTAACCACAACTCCAAGAGATCCTAGCCGTAGTTTTAGCTTATTCATGGTTTGCTTTACCCCTTTGAGTTACGACTTCAGTTATAATCGACTATCATTGCAGTCATTGTGGTCCTGGCTTAACAAAGTGCAACATGGACAGCTATCTCAATGAATCAAGACTTTATAAATTGATTTCATTGGTGGATAAAAACTCTCATATATCCTCAATTTATTGTGCAGACCTCCTGAAAATCTACTTAAAAATCAACAATGCATTTGGAAAACTCTGTTCAAGAATCATCAAATCAGTGATCCCTGGTTACTTCCAGAAACAGAACTGATTATCATCTTTGCTTTAAAAAGACAACAAGTAACCTTTGACTAACCTTTAGCAAGAAAAAAAAAAGCGGACAGTTTTTGATGATGGTTTGGACACTATCAATCAGTATAAGGTTAGTGGTTTCAATCTGCTGATAAAGAAGTAACAATTAACAAAAATATACTCTTTGCAGATATTTCAACAACCTGTCATCACTGTTGTTATGGTGGAGTCCAATAAATAATGTTTTGTGTATGTATATGTGTACATACATATATATATATATATTTATATATATGTATGTGTATATATACACACATACATATATGTATGTTATCTGTGTGCATACTTGTAAATATACATGTACACACACAGTACATCAATTCTTTATATATATATATATATAGCTTACGAAAAAAAATCTTCAAGGTTTGCATCAAGAGGCTATAAGGCACATTTACATGTTTACCACACTAGGAATGTGGACCTAGTAGTTATCACATTGCACAAGCATGTGTCTTTATACACACACCACTCCAGTGTTAGCAAGTATTGATTCTTGAGGGCCAGCTATCTTCCGCTGTCAGCTGCTGTTTGGAGCACTACCTTTCTGAAGCTGATGTCATGTGAAGACGGGTGTCCAGAAGTGTTGAGTTACATCTCCAGTGTTTGAACATGCGTGGACATGTGAAGATTTAAAAAAGAGATAGTGTTACTCTCATACGTTACATTCCTGCACAAACATGGCTTTAAAGAGCCAACTTTCTCTTCATGGCAAAAAAAAAAGTAACAAAAAGCACAGCATTGTATCCAAATTTTGTTACATACAATTTCAAAGAAAACCAGAACCTTAAATTAAATAACACATTTTTAAACTTATTTTCTTTGTATCATCTACAGAACCGTTTCAAGCATTTTTTGGGACTGTTTAAAAGTAGAGTGTATTATGTGCAAGTTAAAAAATAAATAATAAAGCATGCGCACCACAATGCACTTAAAACATTAGCTACTGGCAGGCAACTCTTACAACACACAGCTCTCCATCCAAAGAACTGATGAGGTCATGCTCGGAATATTTTATGTCTACCTGGCTTTTTGAAGTTTTTTTTCTTTTCTTTTTTCTTTCAAGCATTTTCAAGTCAAATACAAATGCAGTGAACGTTCTCTCTCATTTGCTTGGAGTGTCATTAAGAGATTCCTAAGCCAGTCTTCATGTACTCGTAAACCACATAGCTGATGCTGACAGCAGGAATGACTTTCATGAAGTTTGGCATGATGCCCCGATAGAGCCCAAAGAAACCATCTTTGGCTACAATTGTCCTCAATAGAGATGTCATGGAAGGCTGGTCTGATGCATCCAGAGACGCTGCAAAGAAACACTGTGTTAGAGAGGCACTGTTGTATCTAAAAACATGCTTAAAATCAGTTAGTTGCACCTCAGTCATCAGAGCTCATGTATAGATTATTTAGTAAATCATTAAGACTGGTGTTGGTTGTTTGGTTAACTTGTCTATAGTTTGAATCAACATACATTTTAACAGCCACTCCAAACCAGAGAAAGGAAACTATTACCATTAAATTCCTCTTTTAAAAATAAAACTAGACATAGAATTTAGGACTGAAAGAGTCTGTTGAAAGTATAACATAAAAAATGATAGCACTTTATACGTAAATAGATTTTCTTAATAACCTGTGGGGCATCAGAAAAAAGAAAACCATTAGTGAGATGAAACGCATACATATATCTCTTAATAAGATAATTATTAATGTAATGAGAGGAATGTTTTGTTAACTTTAAAAAAATGCTAAAAAATCAGCTCTTAAAAGTGAGCTCACCTCTCGCCTGCATTCGTGTGCGTACGAGTGCAAGAGGGTAGCTGGCCAACTGGCCACAGGTACTAGAGATGGTCCCGCAGCCCAGCAACACCACGACACCAGGGTTAGCCGAGTCTTTGGCATAGTACGACAACCAAGTGTTCTTCAGAGTCTGAGAGATGACAAAGATCTCAAATGGACACCAGAATACCTCAAAATAGATTTGTCTGAGTTACAACACTGCTGTGCTGCAAGACTGGACAAACAGCTTCCCTATCTATGTCAATGAGTTCATTCAAGGATCACTAGAGGGGCTGCTCTCATTAAAAGGCCTGCATACCTCATAAACAGCTAGATCTATCCCAGCATAAGGAATTATGCCGAGTAAATTTGGAACGTAGCCCTTGTAGAAAGCTATGACGCCTTCCTTCCTCAGGATCGTCTTGGCACAGTCGAACATTCCTGCATACTGGCCAGTTTTCCTCAGGGTTAGACGAGTCTTTAACACCTTTAACAAAGAGACATGAGAAGTATAAGAGAGGCTCATCTTTCTCCGAGTTCTTATAAAAAAACATTATCACATTGCTCGGGCAGTACAACAAAGCAGAGACACACTCGTACCTCCATTGGGTAAATGGCAGTCTGGGCAGTGGCACCTGCCATGGAGCCAGCCATAAACCTCTTATGCGTCTCAATCTTCTTTCCCTCTGATGACAACAACTTCTTATACTTTAAAATGAAAGCAAAGGAACATCAGTTTGTTATAATGTCCAATCTAGCACCATGCAAAAGAAAAAGGGCGTTTTCGGGGGGCATTTCCCTACTTGCTCATACGCCATAAACTTGATCGCGGTCTCGGGTGCGATTTTTAAAACGTTGATTCCGTTTCCCCTCCACAGTGAAGTCAGACCTCCCTCTACGATCATCTGCCTGATGCCCCCAACCAGATTGATCTGGTTGGTCTTAGTGGAGTGGACCTGCGGTGCAAACAGACATTTAGCAGAACTGTTTGGCAGACGATCTTCCTGTGAGTTCCTTTCTTTTGCATCATTCACCTGCATGAAGACTTTCAATCTGTCCAGCGGGGCGGTGCCGGTGCGAGAGACGGCCCCCGCCATGGCACCTGCGGCCAGCTGCTTGCACCACAAACCTGAGCTCTTCTCTTCTTCTGTAAACTCATCTGGGATGGCAAGACTGTCCCCTAAGTCCAGCACCTAGTGAGGACACAAACACTCACATTTGACAGCAGGCAGTGAATCTGTGAATATTCTCTGTCTGTTCATGCAAAATAAACACAGGCAAAGGCAGAATTATTTACGCTCTCACACACAAAGCTACAGGACAAATTCTCTGTGGTTCAGACAAAAAAAAGAAAAAATAACTTCTCCTTTTTGCTTTCACTGTCGCGTACTGACTATTTTCTTAGCCTTGCTGGACAACATTTGTATAACTTTTAAGTTAAAGTTTCTATGAGTGGGACACATTGAGAACGTAGCAGATTTGTGACAGTATCAGCTCAAAATCAATAGAAAAATTAGTCAGAGAAAAGGCTGAAAAGCGCCTGTCTAATCATTTGAGCTCTTTGCCCTTTTGCTAGAGCAGCTTGTGAAACTTTAATCAGCTGACGGAACGCTTGCCTTGCATGCTTTGGCTCTTGCTGATAACCAGATCCGATGTTTTCCCAAAAGCATTAAGGTGGTCAGAGAAAAATACTGAGGCCCTTCAATGCAACGCTGCAGGAGAACACACCAGCGCTAGCTACTTTGTGCCCCGTGCTCAATGTTGTGACACAGTTCTGTGTGCTTTGCGGGGAGATGTTCAGAAATAGGGTCTGTCAGGAGTGTGTGAGTAACAAACCACTCACAGACGTCTCTCCGAGCTCCCAGAGTATGGAGTCAGGCTCCATCTAAGAAGAGGTGCAGGAGCGGCTGAGGGGAACACACTGTGGCTCTGTGACCTAATTAAGTGGGTGGTTTAGACTCCGAAAGCCACCGCCCATTGTGAACTGCAAATAAAATCCATAGTGTCTAACCCAAGAGGAGAAGAGGACATGTGATTTCTCCCACTGCTAATGCTTCGGAGTGTGGGCACTGTGTCACACAGCGTCTCTCTTTGGGTCATACCGAAGAGTGCTTCCAGTATCGGATGATTTCCTCCAGGTTGTGGGCAGGGTACAGCAGGAAATGCTCTCTCCACTCGTTCCAGTCAACCATCATGGTCCCGTCAATGTCCATGCTGAGGAGGCACAGGAAAAGATCTTTACTTGAAGGCTCATTGTGCTAATTAATAGCATGCTAAAGTGTCTGCGCGCGTTCAAGTGTGTGTGCAGGAGTGCAGGGAAGTGGAGATCAAACCTCTGTAGGATTTTCAGTGCATCCTCCCTGCTGACGTCCATGCCCAGCTCTGCCAGGGACTGCTGGATCTCCGAAGCGTCGATGCGTCCTGGCACACATTAAAACAACAACAAACAAACAAACAAACAAACAAACAAAAACTACTGAAAAGTGCTGCAACATGACAAGAGAGTAGAGACGTGCACACACACACACCGGTTTGCGGCGTGGGCGCGCGCGCTAATGCCTCCCCCTCATCTCCTACCATCGTTGTTTCTGTCCAGACTCTTAAAGGTCAGCCACAGCTTCTTCTCGTGCTCTTTCAGGTACTTGGTGAACTCGTTGAAGTCCAAACAGCCGTCTTTGTTTTGGTCGCCGGATGACACGATTTTCTGCGAAGAGGGGGAGACACAATGATGGACCAGTAAGGGTCAGCCGTGGGGGCCGCGGACTCTTGGCCGGTCGGCCAGTCTCGACGGACAACACGAGGGACGCCGGGACTCGAGACTCGTATCAGTTACGTGCAGACGCTAAGTGAACAGGATCCCCTCCACCATCGCTTGGAGTTACCTGAGCGGCACCGTGGCGGAATATCCCCATCGCTTTCAGGCCCGCCCGTAACTCGGCGACATCCACCTTGCCGTCCTGGTTGGCATCGAGCCTGTTAAACAGGTCCTGGTAGGACCGCTGACTGGTGGCATCCCAGCACCGGGCGTTTGACAGTAAAGACGTGCGTAACGTCTGGTACATTGCAGAGCTAATGTGGATGCAGCGTTCAAACGAGCCGTCCTGCGAACGTTAATCTGATTATTCATCCATACTGAGAATCATTCATTAATCCCACCCCATAATCCACACGAAAGCCCGGCACCGACAATGATAAAAAAAAACGGCTTTCCCCGTTGGTAAATGTTATTTCTTTCTTTTTTTTTTGCAGAGTGCCCTGAGCAAAGGTGCACTCCGCAGCGCTTGTGAGGAACTGCAGTAATCGGGGGCGGAGCTACGAGGGCTTCCAAGCCCCGCGACGGCTTTTAGCGGAAAAAGTGGGAATGATGGTTTAACGGTGGAGCTGAGACAGATCTCCCCGGGATTCACCGGCCGCCGGACCCGGTGTGTATGCTTATTAAAGTGCGCCTCGTCGTCGCTATGTTGATACGCTTATTGGTATCATTTTCCAGTGAGATATTTGACCGCACACTGGAGAGGAAATGTAATCTCCTTATCTAGAGGGACGTGTCAGCAGAAAGAGAAACACTGAGCTTAGCATTTCCTCCAGGGCAGCACCTCCCACCGCCGACAGAGGGCGCCCTTAACCACACAGACAGAGGAGGGGATATAGCAGTAATAATAATAATCATTATTATAATAATTAAAACACTACTACTACTACTAATAATAATAGTTATATGGTTTTTAAATTATATAGCTTTTCAAAAGCCAAGAGAAATTGAGTCAAATTCCCCTTATGATACTCATCACATTTCTGCTTAGCAACAGTTGCCGTTTCACCTTCTTTCCATTTGCTTTAATATTTAATTTTGTCTCGGTATCCAGTCAGTTTCCATTTAATAATCGGTCCTTTGGGATGGCTTAAATATCACGGATGGTTCAAATGCAAATATCAGCTTAACAATTTCAGTTACCTAAAATGAAGAAAGGAAGGATAGGGATAATCTGTCTTCTATAGTTTCTAAGTTTCTAAGAGTATTCTGAACAGGGAACAACAAGCAAGAGTTGGGGTACACCTTTGACAAGTCACCCGTTCATCGCAGGGCCACACAGATACAAACAAGCCCACACACCACTCCTGGAATGTGAGTCTGCCATGTGTTTTGTTCCTCAGAAGAAGTCATTGGCACATTTATGGGACAAAGTCCCACTGGTGTTTGTCTTACTGCTGCATTCAAGGCTGTGTTCGGAGGTAATGATGAACCGTGACGTCGGACATTGTTTTCTGTAGATGTTCGCAGTATAAACTTACAATACACGTCCTTGTGTGTGCACTAGATCATGCGGGATGACTAAGGTCAGTGTTGTTTCTGCCTTGTTTGATGTCAATAAAGGTCAAATTCCTTGTCACCCTCTTTTTCACGAGTTGTGATCCAACCAAACTAATCCAGATTGTCTTATTAAACACTCTTATTAATAATTTAATATATTCTTGTGGTTAACAGTAGTAGTTGAATGTGGAATGTCTTCATGAAAGCTGTACATTCATGGAGATGTGACTGTTTACGGTGTGGATTCATCAGATAGAGGTCCGGAGGCAATTCTCAATGAGTTCATAACTGAAATGATACCCCCCATTTCCCCTCCTGGCAATTTTAAATTTGGTCCTTTTTTTGCACTTTTATCCTTTTTCGTGGATTATGAGAACACACTAATGGTCATACTGCCGGGATCTATCTTAGTATACAACCAAATAAATTGAAAAGTGAGTTTTATTGTTTACCCTTTTATATTGACACAACATGTGAGTTTGTGTCAATACATAAGAGTTTGAGTGAGGAGTCTTTTTTCTGTTTAAATGATTCATAGGTAAACTTTCAGTTTCAAGGAGAAAAAGGTTTAAAGGAAAGGCTGGAGCCTAAAAAAAGATTGATATTTATGAAAACTCTTAACTTTTAGGAAACTCAGAGTGTTATTGTTCATGACCAATTAAACAGATGACCCTAAACGTCGGCTCTTGAAAGCAAAATGCTAAGAAATTAGGGCTGGCTTTAGACTTAGCAACTTGATAAAATAGTGCGGAAAGAAATAAGATTCAGGAAGATAAACATGGCATGATGACTGCAAAAAAATCAAAGAAACAGAGCAATAATTAATTCACATATGAACGTGTTACACTTGTTAAACTGATGCATGTCCACAAAACCAATCTTTGGTAAGGCTTTGTTTTAAAGGATCCTGGCTGTACTGGGACAGAACTGGGACTCTTCTGCTAACCATTTCTGTTTTTAAATCATATGACTGCTACCAGACGCACTCTTGTGTCGCTTCTCATTTTGTGGGCACGTGAATAAAGCCACCTCAGTGCATCGACGTGGTTGTTGGCGGAGCAGAACGTCTCATTTCTCCTTTCAAATTTGCATCTCGAGCGACTTTGATTCACACTTTAGCCACAATCTACCACCAAACGTACCAAGCGGAAATCGCGCCCCTCCGTTTTGTCCCCACCTCCCCTTTTGCGTTTTCCCCAGCTATCCAATTAAAGCACGGAATTTCCCCCCACGTAGAGCGTTCTGTTTTCCGGTGGGTGGAAGGGAGGAGGTTTGAACTTTGAGCGTCGTGTGCTCGCGGCAGCCAGCGGCAGTAACAGCTGGCTAACAGCTGGCAGCAGTTTCAACGCCTCCTCGGAACCTAAGTCCGGCATTATGTCTTTCATTCTGGTGAAGAAAAACAGATTTAAATTTAAAGTTGATTTTCATTTGGAGGAATTGTCCTCGGTTCCCTTCATGAACGGAGTTCTGTTTTGTAAAGTGAGACTTTTAAATGGAGGCTTCGCGGAGGAGTCGTCTCGGTAAGATTTCCCTCTATTTATAGCTTGACCACGGGGGAGCTCGAGTAAAAAACTCTGGACCAGTTTTAAGTCTTGTTTAGGCTGACGTCTGACACTTTCGTATAATTTGCTCTAACGAGAAAGCTGCTTAATGGACAACAGGGTGAAAAAAACTATCTCCTTCTTGTTAACTTACCAAGCGGTTGTTGGAAGCTTCTCCGCAGGGATGCGTTAAAAACCCGGTATGCCGAGATTGGACGTGATTTAAAAAGGAACTGGGTCCATATTATTCAAAATATATTTTCCTATGCAATAGAAATCATATGTTTCCGGTACACTTTGGTTACTGTTGACTAGTGTACAGTTAACTATGGCTGTTGCTAGGCAACACCTTGTAGAGGTTAATGTTGTTTCCTGAAGCGGCTATTTCAGTCCATGGTGGCATGTTGACGGCAACAATAGCAGTGAATGAATACTTTTACTGGAAATGAGGCATCTTTTTCCATGTCATTTAAGAGGGTTTGGAAAAATAGTTTGGTGCGTTTATCACGGTGCCGAAAAACAAAGCAACCAATGAAAAAATCGAGTTAATAAGCGACCTTCCATTGCTGATTAAATCTGATAATAGCTAAATCTCCTTTCCATGTTGCAAGAATACCTGAAAAACTATAAATTTGCTTTGTTTTGCTTGAAGGCTGTCCACAGTTGAAAGGAAGCAGGTTATACTCTGGACAAGTTACCTGTCCATTACAGCAACAAAGCAAAGAGACAGGGAACCACTCATACCCATTCTGACAGTATTTATTGTTATTGATAACTGGACTTAGAATAAGACAAACAAAAGAACATGTTAACTCCCCACCAAATGGGTTAGTATATAAGGCATTAGTGTTTTTTTAAAATATATATATTATCCAATACAGTTTGGCTTAAGTTATTTGAAGCAAAAGCAAACTTATCTCCGAATTTTAGTAACAATGTTCCTTCTTAATGTTCCAGTAATCATATATATCTCATACTTTGAAATGAACTGATATAGATGTAAAGGATATTTTACTTGCCCTGTGACCTTTGGTTTATAAACTATGCATGTGTTTCCAAATGCGACTGTGTTACAGTGAGCCTGTCCAAGCCAACTGTGTTCGCTGGAAGAAGAGGTTCTCTATTATTTGCAAGATGAGCGCCAACGCTGGAACTGGCGTGTTAGACCCCTGCATGTGCAGAGTATCTGTGCGCAAGGCAAGGCTTTTTTGTCTTCGTACTTGTTCATGTGCATGTTCTGCTTAACTAATCACTAAAAAGGTGCAAAGAAGTTGTTTTTCATAGCAGAAAATGGAAGTTAGATGATGTGCTGTAGCTGTTTGTGTCAATACAAGAGGATGATCATTTGTAGCCCCATTAGCCAGGTGATTTGTCAAAAATTTAGTCATCCAAGAAGTTCTGGGTGTTTTTAGTTTTTTCAATCAGAAAAAACAAAGGTATGTTGCATATTTCATATGACATTTTTTTCTCTTCAATTTTAGGAACTGAAGGGTGGAAAAACATTTGCAAAGGTAATTCATCCCCCCGTCAAGCCTTTCAACTTGTGAACAAGAAGTTTAATTACAAAAGTTATATTGGAAGAATCTTACCAAAGCAATACATAACAGCTAACCCTCAAGTACTCTCAGAGGAGTTTTGGTGAGCGTTTTTATTTTGAGGAGTTTCCGGCTCTGTTACAGTTTTGGTTGCAGAGTTAAAACTCCGTTGCATGTTAACCAATACCTTTGATAGCAAGTGAAAAAAAGGAAGTGTTTGAGTAACCACGAGCTGAACATCCTATGTAATAAATGATTTCTTAAAACGTAGTAGGGTGCGTCCTTCGGAACAGCACATTCCTATAGTGTAAATCTTTGTTTAAATTCACACATTTGCACGATGGCTTGACTTTATGAGTTACTGAAAAAAAAAAGAAGTAATTCCCAAGTGATGTCTTTGTAATTTTGTGTTTGATCTTGTTGCACTCCCTGCAGCTGGGCTTTGCAGACCTGAACCTGTCCGAGTTCGCTGGGTCTGGCAGCACTGTTCGAAGGTGTCTCCTGGAAGGATACAACACAAAGAAAACCCGACAAGACAACTCAATTCTCAAGGTATGGTAATTAAACAGCACAGAGGCTCCATAACACTCTCTGAGTGAGCTCACAGCCTCACTATGCACAGCTGCAAAAGGGCTGTATCACATGTTAGCACATATCCCAGCCCTGCATGCTCTCTTCAGTCTTACGCAATGTCACCAGTTCTTGGGTTAGACACTCTTCTGTTGGAGAAAGCTGAAGTATGACATAAGACACTGGATATGTTTGAGCCTGTGATGTTATGATCTATCTGAGCCGTGGGAATCATTTTGAAATGAGCATATTCTTCTTGGGGCGTGAGCCTCCAAAAATTTTGTATGCCTAAAATTTAAAATATCAAATTTCTTGTTGTTCTTATAGGTTGTCATCACCACACAACTAATGTCTGGAGACCCCTGCTTTAAAACGTAAGAGCTCTTCTTGACCTTATTAAGCAGTTTCTTTCATTTCTGCACATCACCTCAGTGAGGAACTATGTAAATATTTTCTTGTCTGTCATAGTTTTTGTTCTTCTGGTTATATAGGCTGCTACTCGGGTACAAAAGTCTGCATCTAACCACAGAGGAACACACTCAACACATCCTGTCTGTCACCCATCTGAAAACACTCGCACTTTTATGATATTACAGGCTTACACAGACTTTGATGTTATAAAGGGCCTCTTTGAAGCCGACATCTCATCGCTATCTAATCATAAATAGACCCAGTCACTCCTAGACATTAAGCTGCCAAACCTCAGTAAAGAGAAACAGTATACAGTATATGGGATAAGCTCAGACGTCACATTTATAGGAAATACACGAGTTCTACGTTGAACAATTTCTAATAAATGAGTCAAATGTAATGTCTCAACCTCCCATATTCAAATGGCATACTCATCCAACACAAGGCTTGGTCTTATATTTTGTGGGTTCTCAACTCATGTTCTGTTGGTGTTTATTGTAATAATACACAGGCTGCTGCCTTGGAGACGTCTAAAGTTTAGTCATTCATCCCACACAGTGTTACTCATTGTGTGTGGAGGGTTTAGAACGGTAAATGGGTGCTAAGATGACGTGTCATTACTTTTTTGTTCCTTTTCTTTAACCATTTGTGTGCCCCTGCCTTCATTGTTTAGTTTGCTGTAGCAGCATGTTATAACCTTATTAGTCAGGTTTATGGAATAAACTAACTTTCAAGGTCTTAAATGATGTATGTGAGGATTTATAAAAAATGTTATGAGGAAGATATTTTGACTTTATAGAAAAAGCAACAGTTAAACACTTTTTAAGTGAAAACCAGTACACTGTTGTATTAAACTGGTTTGTGTTATACCAGGACCCTGTCAAAAGTTCACTTCAATGGAATGCAGCTGTTAATGATCAATCCTCTTTCGGGTTTCCAGCTATTATAAGCCAAACTGTCCTTTTGGGAAAAAAACTAAAAATCTGTCGCTAGTTGCTGAAATTACAAGGAGCAAGTGAGTGCAGAATGTTTTGCCCAATGTTGCAAAAAGAGAAAGGGCAGCTGCTCCTCCATGGACACGTCCATGTTTCAGTACCATGTTTTTTTTAATAGTTTTGTAGTGTATAGTACATCAGTGGGTGCTCACTTTCAAACTGTGTTGTAAGGTATTCAGGGATGTTTTACAACCTGAAACCTCCTTTTAGAGGCATTAATATTTTAAGCTTTGATACATTTTGGTTTATACTTATACGAACATTTCAGGCCAGGTAAATACATATAATGCATTCTATTCAATTGCACAAAGCCCATTGATGAGGGATTTAAAAAATGTTTCATCTATGCTATTATCAGTAATACTTAGGACACCGACCTTTTACCTGACCAGTTTGTGTGTTTCCTTTAGTCCACCATCTACAGCCATGACTGTGGGAATCCCACAGGCTAATGCAGAGTGCCTCCTTGAAGACAGAAAAGGAGGGGACATTCATATGTCGCTACCTGTCGCTGGTATGTATACTAATAAATGTCATTTTCATAACGAAGAAAAAAGTCATAAGTAGAAATTTACTTGTTGAGTCGCAACGTTTTACTGAACTTTCAATTCATTTTGTCTTTGTAAATTATCAGAACAAAGCTTTCCACTAAATGTTTGTTTGTTTTTTGTACAGAGCACCCGAAAAAGTCAGTGTCAGTTCCAGATGAGCTGATAGCATATGGACACTCCAGAAATTCCAGCTGTGCAAGTCAGCTGTCAAAAATTTCAGGTGCAAGCATAGTGGTGCACATTTACTCAGCAAGAATATAACAGGCATGCTTACAGTTTGCATCATAAACACTTCCTCTCACCTAGGCCCTTTTTCGCCCCTGTCCTCTAGGTTACAGTTCAAATCACTCCAGTTTCACAGATCTGACCCACCGGCGAAGCGGCTCAGGAGGTTCTGCCTCTACAGGCATCAGCAGCATTGAGCCCAGTGATCAGCAGGGAGAAAGGGGAGAGAAGGAGAGCAGATCCACTCCCACAGTGTTAGCATCCTGTTATAATGCGAGTGAAAACCCCTCCACCCCAACCAAGGGTTTAAGGTAACACAGACAGTTAGTTATTGGTCAGTAAAAGTATGTGTTATTGCTGTTCTACAACCTAAAGAGGGAGGAGAAATGTTTTGATCCACAAAAGTAACACAAAACATACGTATTATAAAGTGTCTGCCAAAGGCAACCAGTTGGTATCTAACTGTACAGCAATGGCTCAATATGCACAAAATAGAAACTGAAACTGCAAATGATTTACATAATAATGCACATCAATATAATAGCGACGAAATATGACATATTTTGATTTTTTAGGGGATTTCTATTTCTGGATTTTCTATTGTTTGTTTTGCTATTTGTTTGTTCTTTATACTATGAAGATTCTTGTATCAATTGGCGTTTATCTTTCTTCATTAGACACCCAGTTAAACAGAACTCGATGGAGAATCAACTAAAAAGAGTTGATGCCACCAGGGTGGACGCTGATGACATAATAGAGAAAATCCTCCAAGGCCAGGATTTCAGCCATAGCATCTTGGATTCCAGTGCAGAGGGTGTGTACACCTAATCCTGGAGTGGAAAGCTGCCAGGCATCTTCATAATAAGATCAAATTACTGTTGAGTGTTGCAATACAGTCCTGTAAAATTGCCAAACACTTCCCGGATGCAAAGGCTCCGCAATAAGTTGTTGCTTTTTTCTAAAAAATCCCACAAATGAAGTGTCAGCTGTCTATTTGAAATGTTTATCGGCTTTCTTATTTCTAATGTGTACATATTTGCTGCTGCAGAAGAGGGGCTCAGCTTGTTTGTGGGTCCTGGTGGGAGTACAGCCTTGGGAAGCCATCACTCCAGGTGGGTGTGATTATGTAACTGCGCGTGCCACTCACTGACATTTACTACAAATATGGACAAAAGCAGTTATACTAGATAAAGATTCTGATAAGAAATGATTGTATTAAGCATAGTCTACTGTTATTGCTTATGTTGGATGTGTATCATGTAAGTCATTATGATAAGAGCATTATAATTCCCCCACTCTGTTATTTGTGCCTGTGAAATGATGCCTGTCAGTTGGATCAGATAACATCCCTTATTTCCGACCTTGTAACATGTGGCATTCTCTTTCAGGGATGTGACCGGAGCCTTTGAGCAGGTGGTGATCAAGCAGTAGGCTTTGAGAAGCATGTGTCCGACACAGACGGGTGCTCTGTGTTTTTTGGTGCAGGGGCCACCAGAACGAGCGGTCCATGTGCTGTGGACAAGAAACCTGCTCCTATTTCACCCCAAGAGATGTTCTTCCATCTTATGCAATACTTCCCCCACAAGGCCTAAAGAATCCATTGGCCACGGGTCCCCCTAGTGTTCAAAGGTGGAGGGGAAGCTTACTAAGTGAAACATTTTTTGGAGACTGAGATAAGTCGTTTGCCGACATCTCTGTAGCTTTTCTAGTTCTCGTTGAGGATGTGGGATTCAGACGGCATGTATCCTACACTCTCCTCTTGTGTGGTGATTAAAAAGTGCAAAAATGTACCCCACATGTCTATCCACCCTTTGTGGACTGTGTGAGTTGTGCTTCCTTGTAAGTGGACTGAAAAACAAGACATGTACTGACAGGACATTTTGTATTGTAACAGTTTTTTTTTTTTTAAATATCTGGTTGTGGTCATTTTAACTGACAAAAGGTTCAATGGTGAACATACTGTTGGAGAAATAATGTGTCTGCCTTCTCAAGTGTTTGTATTTTTCCTCCCTTTATGAAACTTAATGTAAAATGAGGATCTTTTTTTATGTCATTGTCTGTAATTTATTGTACAGTGAGTCAATGGAGAGTTGGCATTGTAATGTAGCCGTAAATATTTAAAGGACTAGAAAACTGACAATAGGTGCTTTTATGGTTAAACTATGATTGTAAGTAAAGTTGATCTGCCTTTCACGGATATATACCTTTGTACATGGTGGTACAATGGCCACCTCCAAGCAAGATATTTCCTTGTATGAAGTGCAGCTGGAGCTTTCTTTTTTTTAAACCCTTTTTTATGCAAAGTTTTTATGTTCTCCCTTGGAACTCCACCTTCCTCCAGCAGTCATACTAATCAGTGATTCTACATCACACAAGGTATGAGTACCCATCCAGGGTATACCCTGCCTGTGTACAGAAAGTGATGTAGAAAATGGCTGGATTTTGAAAATGAATGAATGTTCATCTGAGGTAGAAAAATGGACAAGGTCATGTAAAGTACCACGAAGATTGTACATTTTGTTCCTGAAGAGGATAATGTTTTTGTGTAAACCATATTTATGTTAATGCTTAGCCTTTTCAAATGTAATGTAGAGGCCTTATTTTTACACCCACTCTTTAAGTGCCTAAGTTGAGTGTAAAAGAAGTTAAATGTATATTTGTTCCCATGAATGTTTTGTTCGGTGAGTTCCATGTGTTGAAGTTATGGCCAATCAACTACACCATATTTCTTATTAAAAAATCTATCCAGGTCCTTTACGAAAGACTTTTTAAATTGTTTCTTGGTTACGAAATATTTCTTTTCTCGGGACGCAGGTTAGAATTGTACTGAAAGCGTTAACATCAAGCTAGACATTACCACTTCCTGTCTGTGAAATGACTCTTCAGAGTACGTACCGATGTGAGACGTTTGAAAGTTTTTGCGCGTGTGTATCTGCTTTTTTAATGGTCTGCGTTGTAAAGAGTACTAATTCAAAATGCTTGTTCAAACGTGCATACTGCCAAAAATATTTGGGAACACCGGTGCATGCACACGGGCCTTTACTCTGGACTAAAGGGACCAGCCGCGCTGACGTCACTCGCCGCAGCGGCGGCCGCTCTCTCTGTCCGTTGCTAACATTACAGTTCCGGTTCCACCTCGCTGTAGCACTTTAGCTAAAGCAGCGGCGGGAAGTTCTTATTAACATTTTAATCACGGATTCGCATTACTTAAGCGAACAAATCAATTTCCAATTGATATTTAGTACCCTACTATCGATGGCTCTGTAGCTGGAAGTACGTTAAAGGTAAACCAAGCGTCGCGGCGTGGGATTCAGCTAGGATGGCTAACGTTGGAAATCAGCTACCAACACAGGCCGTTAGCAAGCCGACATCAGGAAAACATGGAAACGTATTGCCCCTATGGGGCAACGAAAAGACTATGAACCTCAACCCAATGATTCTTACCAATGTCCTTTCTTCGCCGTATTTCAAAGTTCAGCTGTATGAATTAAAGACCTACCATGAAGTTGTGGACGAAATATATTTCAAGGTAAGGCTATCATTAGCAATGCTAGCCCGCACGCATGCTATTAGGTAACCGTCTAAATGGGTTTATTGTGGTAGCAACGTACAACGGTCGTCAAGTAACGAGCAAATCTGTGATTACGTACTTCTGGATATAAAATTGGGATGATAACTAGGAAATATCTCGGCAAATAGTGTTGCTTATTTTTTCTTTGCGAAAAATAGTTGGTGTTTTGACGTTAATTACCAACTAACGCCAGTTAAAAGACACACCGACTGGGTTGTGTCATGTCAGACGTTGGTAGGTGTCGAATTATTCGGAATAAAATAATATTCCTATCAGCGTTATAGTTTTGTATATGGTTCGCTCAGACTGTATGGGAATTGATTATACTTATTCTCTGTTTACCCACAGGTGACTCACGTTGAGCCCTGGGAGAAAGGAAGCAGAAAAACCGCAGGGCAGACTGGAATGTGCGGAGGGGTAAGTGAGAAGTACGTGATTTTTATATTTCCCCTCTACATTATTCAGTACTAATGTGGAGGAGTGTTTTTAGATCAAATGGTGAACAAAATGCTGTTGTGTAGTGCTAATAGTTAACCATATCTGCTGTAAACGATGTGCGGTGGTTATTGGGTTTCCAACATGTTATGTTTATCTGTGGTAGGTACGTGGAGTTGGGACTGGTGGAATTGTATCTACAGCTTTCTGTCTACTATACAAACTGTTTACTCTCAAGCTTACCCGCAAACAGCTGATGGGTCTGATCACTCACACAGACTCGCCATACATTAGAGCACTTGGATTCATGTATATAAGGTATGGATCATTGCATGAGACACTCACATGATTGTTAGTATTGTTATATGTATGCATTTCTTCCCTGTTTTGGAAGCTATTTTCACACATTACTTTCATTGCGCGCATATATATATATATATATATATATATATGTGTTAGTGTGGATATTGTCCAGATCAGGCTCTAAACTCACTAATGGGGCTTTTCCATTAGTAATCAGCTTTGCTATTGCTCTGTTTAGGCATTTGTCCATATCAAGTGGAAAGGCCAAAGACAGACCAAATGGCCTGTGACGTCTCTGGATGAGACACCAGCGCGAGACAATAATGAAGGACATTGTTGGAATGATATACTGGCTGAAGTTCATGTTCTGACTGCAGTGTTGTTTTTGTATATGAGGCATCAACAATGTTGATGATCACAGAAATAATTAAATCGGAAGTTTGTTGTTGCTGTATTTAAAAAAAGAAAAAAAAAGGACGGGGTTCACATGAAGGAGTCACTTTCATGACTCATGTACTCATGCGACTGCCTTGCCAATTAGTGGCCTGATGTCAGCTTGACTCTGCCCGCTTGGTATCCCGGCAAGGTAGTTGCTAAAATGGTTACTGTTTGGAAGTCCCAGGCCCTAATGGTATTGCAAAAGAAAAAGAGTTGTGGAGCAGAGCTGTGCTGAGTACTAGTGGTAAAGCCCCAAAAGTGTGTGATGCCCAACTGTACTGTACTGTTGTATCCCAGCTGTTACAGATGATGTAAAATTTTATCATCTTCAGGAACAAACAAGCCAATAATGTATTTTTATTTTATCTTTTTCCTGTCCCAGATACACTCAGCCCCCAACAGATTTATTAGAGTGGTATGACGGTTTCCTGGATGATGAGGAGGTATGTCACCCCGGGTAATGATTTAAAATTTTGTTGTTTGTTTGTTTTTTTCTTTTACTTTCACAAAATGCAGCGCCAACTACCACACTTTAAAAGCCGCTTTCCTCCCCAACCCTCTCCCCTTGTGATGCTCATAGCTGATTTTTCACCTTTGCCTTCATTTGGCTTAATTGTCCCCCAGTTTTTGTTCTGTGAGCCTGGGTAGCTAGGTTACTTGCTCACTGCTGTGCTGCTGATTTTTCTCAGGGTAAGTACCACATATGATGCTGAGTAAATCTGTCAGTCAATGTAATGTTAAGGCATGCCTTCTGTTTATTTAAAAGGCTTTATCAGGACTTGTTGCACTAAACTAAATTTGGGATAACTGGCAATTGGAGTATTCGCATGGAATGACACATTTTCCTAACTAAATGTCAAAAGTTTTCACAAGATTTCTGTTTAGTTTTCATACTTCTATAAAACCATAATCTGGTCCCAGGCTGTGCAACCAGGCCTCCTTTGATGTTCTGTTGTATTATATTTGAATTGATCATTATAAAATTGTGCCCAACTGGTTAATTCCCCTGTTTTTTTCTTTAGATGACCATTGTGCAGCAGGTGAATTGGAAATTGTATCTCAGCACTGTTGGTTTGCGTGAGTGCAAAGCAGCTGTTCTTTACCATATAAAGCTGATATCTTTTCAACTGGAGTGCACTTATCCACCTGCTCCAATCTGTGCTTACACTGTGGGCAATTTTGATCTTCCACGAGAGTTCATAAAGCTTTTGGGAAAACTGAAGACGGAAGTAAATTCCTCTCTCTCTTGATCCCCTTCAGCACTATGATGCTGCTATCGGCCTCCCCTTCATTTTTGGATCGGAAAGCAAATGAAATAAAAATCAAATAGAAAAATAAGATCATTTGAAAGCTGGGGACGGTTCTTTACAAATGAATTATTCTTTGGTGGTTATTCAAGCTCACGCTGTGACTACAGACTCCAGGAACTGCAGACAGGTTAGATTAGTCAAACAACTTGTGATATTTATAGTTTAGTTTCCTCTGTTAACAGTTACCAGCAGTAAAGGCAGGCTTGTTTGATATGAGAGATTAAGCTAGATGAACAGAGGTGAAGTTTCAGTACTTGGTCATCACAAATTACTGTCTGATGTGAGGCAAGATTGAAAAAGCAAATACATTTATCGATGCCCAAATAATGTGTCCCGATTAAATTGTTATGTTTACTTTTTCTCCCAACCTGTTTTAATAGGAGCTTGATGTAAAAGCTGGAGGTGGCTGTGTGATGACCGTTGGAGAAATGCTCCGCTCCTTCCTGACCAAGCTGGAATGGTTTTCCACTCTGTTTCCTCGCATCCCGGTGCCTGTGCAAAAGCTCATCGACCAGCAAATGAAGGCGAGGCCGCGGAAGGTGGCGCAAAAAGAGCCACAGGAGGAGGAAGCCGAATTCACAGAGTCAGGGAGACAGGGAGAAAGGCGGCGCTCCAGGTAATAACACATTTTGGGAGATAAATAAAATGGGCCTAAACTAAAGTCGAGTTACAAATTATATAAATGCTTTGGTGTCTTGATACTTTTAGAGGGTACCGTCGTGTCTATATTTAGATTAAGATGTTGATGTGTATCGCAAGGTTTTTAAAAACTTCTTTTTTATGCATCTTAAGATGGCATAAAAAACTACTCTCCATTTGTGGGTGTAGATTTGTTTATCTTTACTTTTAGCGAAGTTCAAATCCATTCTCTATGCCAGGACACCCAGACGGACCCCCAGCCCCAGGAGGTCGCCCAAACGGTCGAGGAGCAGGAGCCACCACCGGGAGAAAGAGCGGCACGGCCCCAGCTTCGACCGGGAGCTGGAGAGGGAGCGCGACCGGCAGAGGAAGGAGCGGGACGGCAGGGACCGGGACAGGGAAAGGGGAGGAGACCGAGGGGACAGGGAGAGGCGGCGGTCCCGCAGCGCCGAGCGAAACCAAGACCGCCGAGAGCGCAAGAAAAGCCGCAGCGGCAGCCGGGAGAGACGGAGCGAGCGCAGGGAGAAAGAGAGAGATGCAGGAGATGACAGGAGCAGGAGGAAGGAGCGGGACCACCACAAGGACCGAGTCCCCGAGAGAGAGAAGTCCAGAGACAAGAAGAGCAGGGTAGAGGCAGATGAGCGAAGGCACAAAGATGAAAGGGACAGACACAGGGAAGACAGGCGGGCCAAGAGGTCCAGCCGGAGCCGCAGCCGAGATAGGAAACATAGGAGCGGAGGAGAGGAGAAGAGCAGGAAAAGGGAGCGCAGCCACAGCAGAGAGAGGGACAGGGAGCGGGACGGCGAGCAGCGCTCTCACAAGCGCAGCCGCAGCAAAGAGAGGAGCCACCACCCGAAAGAATCCAGCAACGATCAAAGCAAACACAACGAACGCAGAAGGAGTCAGAGCGCCGAGTAAACGCGGGCTCACGGCTTACTACTCCTGTGCTCCCCCTCCGTGTCCCTGCCCAGCCTTGTTCTCCCCATCACTGAGGAGGAGGAATGTCAGCACATTGGACATCTGGACATCGTCGTGTTTGGCCAATGTAATGTTGCTTTCAGTTTGTTTTTTCTGCTGTCCCAGCCCCCCGTTAGAACATTGTTAGTCCTCACTAATCTGTAAAGTGACAAAAATGGCATTTTAATTTTCTATGGTTCTTTTTTTTTTTCTTTTTTTTTTCGCCCCCCCAAAAAAATATTTGTACATAATGTCTGGAGACTGTCTACACACTATTAATGGGCAGAGTGCAGCTCAAAGGCTCAGCTCCACACTGTCGACATATACTTTATGTAATTTAAAAATGATAGCTGTAGTTATTTTCTGCCTGCACAAAAGCAATACAGTTATTTTTAAGATTTGACAGATGATGGATTGCTTATATGAATGGTTTAAGTTCCGATTTCAGTGAAGGAGCAGCGCAGCTCGGTCGGCAGTTCTGTCCGTGACTGGTGTGTAGATGGTCTGAGAATGTTTTAAGCTCCGAAGGGCAGCCTGCAAATGGTCATTTTTACCACACACTTGATTCCTGCTTGTGTTGTGTTTTGAGCCATTGCTCTCTTGCATTTTGTTTTCTAATAAAACACTTTTATAAATTACGCTCTCTTGTATGCTGGCAACATAAAAAGACTCCTAAATTAAGAGTTCATCTTTTTATGTGTATAGATAGTTATCTATAGTTAAATATTTATATATTTTAAAATGAGATCATTTTGGAATTGATTAGTCATTGGTAAAATATTTAGAAGCAGGATTCAAAAAGTATGAGTTTTATTAGAATGTTGTGAAAATAATCTTAAATATACATTCAGTAAAGTCAAAAAGTACAAATTATGAGTTTCAGTACATATTCAGATAGTGAGTCATTCATCATTCACAATGGATATAAAAAGGAACAAAACCCCAAACAAAAAGTAACATCAGAAAAAGTATTGATGCGGTTGCTATGAAGTAATCGATTTACCACCTGTGTGATCAACAGACTAGTCTTTTGCAGATATGAACAACGCCCTCTGACAATGCACTGTAAGGATAAACCAGCAGAAATGAAAAATCCTACTCAAATATGTATATCTTAAGTCCCTGTGTACTATGAGAAGATTATTTAACATTCAAATTGCTGCCACTTGATAATAACGTAATAAGGCCTGAATCTGTCCCATTTATATTGGAACCCCGAGACCCGTCTGCACGCACACGGGCTCTGACTCCGGTCCGCGTGCGGCTGTGTAAAAAGCCAACACAGAGAGGCAGTACGTGGAGGTGGGGCTCAGGTCGGTGAGGATGATGCTTTCTCCGTACACCGTCATTTCCTGAGTGTCGTTGAAGCTGCCCTGCCTCCTGATCAGCAGGCTGTAATAGGCGGCGTCCTCCACGGGGGACCACTGGAGGAAAACGACGGTTGGCGCGGCCTGCTTCACGTGCAGCAGCGGAGCTGAGAGGCTTCCTGACGGGGGCGGGGGACAAGACAGAAATAAGAGGGAGGTCCGAGACTTACTTTTTTCTCATGAGAGAAGACTGAGGACAAATACAGAGCCTTAACCCTATAATGCCAAATGTATCATATTTGATATACACACAGTTTCTGAAGTCTTTTGGATCTGACATTTTTTGCATCATTCAGTGGTAAAAGCTTTGCTCAAACCCCTGTTGTACATATTCAGATATACCTGATAACAGCCAGTAGAAGATTACACCAAGATACATTTTTTACTTATTGCACGCTAATTTGATGAAATAATTTCAGTTTTTTTTTCTTCATATGTTGTTGAGGGGCCAAAGAAAGACTTCAGACTAAAACAATCCAATATTCTTCCTATTTTTCTTGGATCAGGCTTTAAATGGTTAAACAAACAGCTTTTAAAATCAAGCGCAGTAGTACAGACTTAGCCCTCAAAAACTCAAACTTTTTTAAAGATATTTATATACTAGGCATAAAGAGCTCGGAAAAAATGGCTTGGTATTGCACTGGTTGTTCTCACATATCCAAACTTACCATCAGCTGGTATTTGTTCGCTGAGATCTCTCCTCCTGCGTTCCAGTGTTACCACTAAAGAGAAAAAGGTTCACGTTAGCTATTTAAAAAGTACAGCTGGTCCATTCCTTTCCACAGCCTTTAAGCTCCAACCGTTTATGTCGCCTGTGGCCTGACTCTCCCCCGCGGCGTTGCTGGCTGTGATGACCAAACTGCTGACGGCCATGTTGGACAGCGAGCAGGACAGCGTGGTGGTGTTGCACAGCTGAGCCCCGGCCGCCACGCTGCCCTCATAGACGGTGTAGGTGGTGGCGAACACGGAGGCGTTCCAGGAGACCGTGGCGAAGGAGCTGTTTCCGCTGTAGGTCACCCCCGACGGTGGGCACGGGGCTGGGAGGAGAGAAGCAGGATTAGAACCGATTGCATATGTTCTTTAAAATGCAGAATGGGAGCCAGAATGTTCGGCTGTCAGAGTCCTCTCCTGTGGAACCAGGTTCCAGTTTGGGTTCGGGAGGCACACACCGTCTCTACGTTTAAGAGTAGGCTTAAGACTTTTCTTTCTGATAAAGCTTATAGTTAGGGCTGCCTTAGGTGAGTCCACCCTTAATTGTGCCGCTATAGGCCTAGACTGCAGGGGGATTTCCCATGAGGCACTGAGCTCCCCTCTCGTCTTCTCCCTCTCCCTCCCATTGCAACCTCATCCCATTAATGCGTGTTGCTAACTGGACTTCTTCCCTTTCCTGTAGTCGTGTGCTTTCTCGTCCCCTCTCCTCTCTCTTCCTGTCACTTCCTGCAGGTGTTCCTGGCTCTGGAGGGTTTTCCTTGCCTGTGTCGCCAAGTGGTTGCTTTTGGTGGGAATGGTACGGTCTGACCCGCTCTGTTTGGAAAGCACTGTGGCGCTATATAAATAAAATGGAATTGAATTGAATTTAATGAGGGTGGCATGGTGGTTAGCAAGAGGGTTCTGGGTTCGAGTCCTGGGGGAACCAGGACCTTTCTGTGTGGAGTTTGCATGTTCTCCCTGTGTCTGCATGGGTTCTCTCTAGGTTCTCCGGCTTCCTCCCACCATCCAAAAACCTGCACGTTAGGCTGATTGGACATTCAAAATTTCCCTTAGGAGTGAGTGTAAGTGGTTGTTCGTCCTTGTGTGTCTCTGTGTGTCTCTGTGTGGCCCTGACAATCCAGGGTGTACCCTGCCTCTTGGACATTGACTACTGGGATAGGCTCCAGTCTCCCCCTATCCCCATTAGGGAATAAGCCGTTACGATATTGGATGGATGAATTGAATGGCCCAACCTCTCCTGCCCATCAGCATAGTGTGAAACAGGAGGTGAATAGCGTCCGCAGTGCTGACCTGTCGTTCCGTTCAGAGGCACGGATTCAGGGCTGGTTCCTGCGCCATTCCTGCTCTGCAGCGTGGCGACGTAAGAGGAACCGCAGGGGAGAGGAATCTCGAAGTACGTCATGTTGGTCCAGTAGGAGGAGAGCTCAAACAGGGCCCGGCCGTCTCCCAGCAGACTTCCCGTCAAAGTCAGCAAGTACTCCGTGTCTGCGCAGGCGACCTCCGTCCAGCTGAAACGCATCGCCTGGACCTCCGTCTCCATCGGCATCAGCTGCACCTCCACCGCATCCGGGGGACAGGGAGCTGAGGGATGGAGGTGTGGGTTTTTTTTACAGAACAATCAACATCACTGAGACTCTTTGCTGAGCGAGGAGGTGATCAGATACCTCCCCCATCCTGCACGGGGTCACTGAAGGAGCTGTTGCACGACCCGTCTGAGGCCTGGACGGAGAAGTTGTAGGCCGTTCCACACTGGAGGCCGTCGATGGTGCAGGAGGGGCCCGTGCTGTGACAGTACAGCATGTCTCCGTCCCCGGCCTGAGCACAGCCATAGTAGCCCACGGCATTGTCGCTCGGCGTCCATGTTAGAATCGCGGACTGGTTGTTGCAGTGGAAAGTAACCGAGAGTCCACCTGGCTGGCAAGGACCTGGACACACGGAGGACAACTTGAATCAACGTATCTACTCATCACAGTAATGTCTGTTTATATTAGTTTTCAGCTTTTATTTTTCTCTACGTCTGGGAACCAATACCTGTGTTTAGGGTTGCGTTTGGACTGGCTTTGCTGGAGCAGTTCTCGTGACTGGCCGTCACAAATACGGCGTACTGCTGGTCACAGTGGAGCCCGGACAGGCTGCAGTTGCTGGAGCTGGTGTTGCAGGTGTGCTCGTGTCCATCTGCTGCCACGGCCACAACCTGGTAGCTTTCGGCGACGGGAGAAGGCGTCCAGGACACCAGAGCGCTGTGGTTCTCGCAGGAGGCGGTCAGCAACACGTCTGTGGGTGGACAGGGCTCTGTGGAAGAGAAAAGGCAGTGGTCAGTGGCAGTTTCTTCAAATTCTGAAATTGTGAGGTAGACTTTCCCTCCAACCATGAACACAAGTAGCTGAAATTAGGGCTTCGTGACCAACAAAACTAGAACCATCCTTTTAAAAATTAGCTAAAAATTCACCTCATGGTTGGCCTTTGACCGAGCCTTTTTTCGTTCACAATCTCTTTTTGTGCTCCTGTACAGTTTAATGTATTTTGTCAAATATTTGGATTGCTCTTTGCTCTGTGTGTGTCATATACCTGCTTCTAATTAAGCCTGGCATAAACTAACCATTTTTTAAATCTCATTTCAACTAATATCTAAGACAATTAGAGAGTAGAAGTACAATTCCTTGGACGATTGGCCCACACAACAAGGACCACCAGTAGGTTGCAAAGGTTTTATTTGGCAAACGGACATAAAACTTACCCATGCTAATCTTGTAGGGGGGACTTCTTAAACTGCTGCACTGGTCTGATGAGGCCGCCACGATGATGGTGTAACGGAGGCCGCACTGCGCCCCGTGAAGGTGGCAGCTGAGGCCGGTGCCGTTGCACGACAGGAGGGAGTGGTCGCTGGCCTCGGCCGTGGCCGTGTACACCGCGTTGGCGTCGCCCCCCTCCATGAGGCCCCACACCACCAGGATGGAGGAGTTGTGACACTGCGTGAAGGCGGTGATGCTAGAGAGCGAGCAGGGAGCTGAAGGGGGGAGGAGACGGATCACACATGAACACAACCCCTTGAACCCGGCTCGAATCAATACTGTGAATAGCTCAAAGTGATGAGACACCTGTCTGCAGGTCCACGGGGGAACTCGGCGGACTCTGGCACTGGCCGTTTTCAGCCGTGACGGTGAAGTTGTACAGAACCCCGCAGGCCAAATCCTCCACCTCGCATGTGGTGTTGGTGGAAGTGGTGCAGTTTCCTGCGCGCTGATCTCCGCCCACGGCTGACACCGCGTATCTTTCCGCCCCGGGAGCAGCATCCCACGATATCTGGGCGGAATTGGTCACACAGTCCAGGCTGCCCGTGATGCCCTGAGGCTGGCAGGGAGCTGAGGAGTAAATAAGTCGGTGAGTGGACGCCGGGAACTGGTGCTAAAGCGGATGTCGTTCGGAGTTAGAGTTTTGGTACCTGACTGGATGGTGTGTGGCTGACTGGGCTGGCTGTGACAGGCACCACCCACGGAAGTGACTTGAACCGTGAACGTGTTTCCGCAGCTCACGCCACTGATGGAGCACGCGGTGGCTGTGGTGTTACACGCCTCACTGGCCCCTCCGTTTCCAGCGGTCAACGAGATCAAGAAGCGGTCAGCGTCTCTGACGGCGTCCCAAGAAACGCTCAAGTCGTTCGACGAACAGTCGATCTGGACACTCACGTTCTGAGGTGGGCAGGGCCCTGACAAGGACAAGACAATCGAATTGCACGGCTGGATTTTCCAGTTTTAGAATTTTAAGTATTCTGACGAGTGGAGTTACATCTCTTACCCGAGTTGAAAACCAGAGCCCGACTGGGAACGCTGGAGCAGCTCTCATCGATCGCCACAACCTGAACCGTGTAGCTGCTGCCGCACGCGAGGCTGCTTAGGCCGCAGCTGAGGTCAGAGGTCTCACAGCTGGCGTTGCCATGACTACTGAGGGCCGTCACCGAGTACTGAACTGCACCCCGACTGGCGGGCCAGGACACAACAGCAGAGTTGTTGGCGCACTCCACGGCCACGGAGACATTAGTGGGAACACAGGGCGCTACAAAATCAAACACACACAACACATTACAGTAAAAACCTGCACCAAATTGTGTTTAAAATGATCATGATACCTGTCACAGACAATAAAATTCAAGTTTCGGAACATCAAAATAATTTGCAACAGCTAAATCTTATGGAAAATACAAAGACATTTTTTTATTAAAACAAATAAATAAGTGTTATTGTGCCATTACGGAGCCATGTTACTTTTAAAGGAGTTTATTTTACTGGCAGTCTCACCTGACTGCAGACGTGCGCTTTGACTGGAGGTGATGTTACACTGCTCGTTGGAAGCGGTGACCGACACAGAAAAGTTCTGCCCACAAGGCAGAGTGGGAATGCTGCACGCACTGGCTTCGGACATGCACATTTCTGAGATGCCTGTGTCCGTCAGCATCGTGGCTGTGTAGTACTCCGAGCCATTGCTTGGCTGCCACGTTACCACAGCGATATTGGAGAGACAGTCCTGCACGGCATTGATTCCCATCGGTGTGCACGGCCCTTGAATAAAAGAGCAAAACGAAAAAGGACATTCAAATCAATTTTACACGTCTTTAACTTCTCTCATGCTTTCATTTCTTGGCGTTTACATCATGAATTTCCTCTCAAATCAAAGCGTGAAAAGTACATACAGGTGTGCACCGATGCTGACGCGCTGTGGTTGCCGGGACAGTGATGGCTACGAGGCCTAACTGTGAGGCTGTAGTTTTGCCCACAGCTGAGGTCAGAAAAGTGAGCTGTGGCCACGCTCGTGTTGAGACTGACCGATCCGTCTCCGGATTCCGCTGACACCACGTACAACTTCGTCCTGTTGTTTGCCTCCCAGCTCAGAGAGACGACTTTCGTGTCACAATTCACTGTGGCAGACAAATTCTGGGGCAAACAAGCACCTGGAAGAAAGTATTTAGCATTGATGTGAATGGATTTAAATATTCTTTGAAATAATGATGAAGAAACAAATAAAAATCCAGAACTTAAAATAGCTGTTTTTTTCCTGCATTACCTATACATTTATAGGTAATATACATACATATACATATATAGGTAATATACATACATATACATGTATAGGTAATACAGTAATTCACATTTATATGAATATATATCCATATAAGTTCTAATATACAGTATATACATTTGAATAGGCAGAAACTGGTGAACTGTCCATCACATACCCATATGTATGATGGAACTGTTGCTGGGCAGACTGGTGCAGTTCTCATCCTTTGCTGTCACTACAACACTGTACTCCTCCCCACAGTGCAGGTCATCCCACGTGCAGGAGGTGGTGTTGGTCAGACACCGGTGGCTGTGGCCGTCAGGGGCAGTGGCCGTAGCAACGTAGGATTCGGCGCCATCGCTGGGGCTCCAGCTGACAGAACCCCCATCAAACTCGCACTGCGTGGAGGTGGTTACACCCCGGGGGGTGCATGGACCTGCGGAGAGATAACGGCTTCAGCAGGAGAAACAAAAAAAAGGCAGGGCAAAAAAAGCGAGTGATGTAAAATCCAGGCAGCGTACCGGTTTTGAGGAAGGCCGGACTGCTGGGGATGCTGTCACACACGCTGCCCAGTCCTCTCACTGTGACATTATAGTACTGACCACACGGTAAAGCGGCTGCCAGAGAAGTTTGGCTAGTGTTGTACGTTTCCACATGTCCAAGGCTCCCTTTGGCTGTAACTAAATAACTCACGGCACCTCGTTCTTGGTGCCACGAGACCTGGACCTCCTCACTCTGACAGAGCACCTGAGTAGATGTAATTACAGGCTGGCAAGGCTCTGAAGAGAGTAAAGAAAGAAAAAAAAGGTGACTAACCAGCTGAAAACTATTCTAGCTGTAAGTGAGTGAGTGATAGAAATACCTCTCAGATGTTTGACATTTATAAGCTTTTTTAAAGGTTAAGAATAAGAAGCTCCTCTAACAGGTATACAGCCACAATTTAAACCCCTTGTCTTTTTCTTATTGCATAATGTATCCAATGTATAACTTTTATTAAAACCCGGTTTCGGTTTTATCATAATTTTGTCTTATAAAACATGATATTTTATATTAATATTGCATTGGTCTGATGGAATAGTAATATGAGGAGAAATGTTAACTGGTGATTTCGCTAAATAGGATTTTTTTTTGTGTAGCTGGCATGAGTCATTGCTACTAATGTAATCAAAGAAGAATAAATCTTTAACAAAGTACCTGTCTGGATGAGCACAGTGTTGCTGGGCGTGCTCCAGCAGCCTTGAACGTGAGCTCTGACCGTCAAGTTATACACTTCTCCACAGTCCAGACCCACGATCTGGCAGGCAGAGCTGGTAGAGTTACATGTTTTCTCTTCACCTCCCATGGCTTTGACTGCAGTTGCCGTGTACAATTCAACCTCCGATTTTCCCTCCCAGGACAGCTCGGCGGTGCTCGAGCCACACTGCAGGCTGGCAGACACGTTCTGAGGAGCACAGGGCCCTAAGAGAGGCGTCCCAGACGAAGGGGGTTAACTCGCTGACTACCTGCTCGCCACGCGTGGGTATACCTTTCCGACACCTACGTGTTGTGAGGTTGGCGTGGGTTGGCGCCGTGAGGCTGCACTGCTCGTTGCTGGCGGCGAAGCTGAGGTTGTACGTCTCCCCACAGCTCAGGCCCGTTACGTTACAGCTGCTGTGAAGAGTTGTGCACAGAATCTGAAGACTTCCGCCGCTTCCACTGGCCATCACCGAAACATTTCCGGTGCCATTGGTTGGATTCCAGGACACCAAAGCGGCGCCGTCCGCCTCACAGCCGACGTGTACCTGCACCTCTCCAGGGAGGCAGGGAGCTGAGGGAAAAGCAAAAAAAAGGGGGATGACCACACTAGAGTCCTAAACAGGGACGATGTCACGCAGAGATTCGACTCACCGGCGGTCAGGGGGACCACGGAGCTGCTGGAGCTGTTGTGCTCCCGCCCGAGGGCCTTGACCCACACGCTGTACACCGCGCCACACCGCAGATCTGACACCACGCAACTCGTGTCTGCGTCTGCCCCGAGACAGGAGGCGGAGTGGCCGCTCTGGCTGTCAAAATAGGCGACGTAACCCACAGCGAGTTGGCTCCGCTGCCAGGACACAGCGGAAGTCAGCTGACCACAAGTCGCGCTCACTTGGATGTTTGTCGGCGGGCAGGGTTCTGATTGAAGGGAGAACGTTTGGACAAGCTTGAACAAAAATCAGACAGACAAACCTGAACATGACTGAATATCCATCTTGCAAGTAGGTGATATATACCTGTCAGGAACTGGAGGGGGGCAGAGGTCACGGTGTCGTTGCAGGCCGGGTTTCCGGCCGACACGGTGATGTTGTAGATCTGACCGCACGGCAGGCCGGTCAGGGAGCAGTCGGTGCCGGTGGAGTTGCAGGTAACCCTCAGGCCCTGGTCGGATTCAGCCACGACAGAGTACGAGCTGCCACCTTTTGCTGCTTCCCACCTCACCTGTGCTGTGCTCATGTTGTAGTGGACGGACACATTCACAGGACCGCAGGTCTCTAAAAAAATAAACCAAGAAAGAAGTATTTTCAGGTGTAATATACTGAAAGTTGGTTGATCTGCCGCCAACACAATGACGGACATGAAACATACTAAGTTAAATAAAAGTTTGATGCCATTGGCATCACTGTGTCACAATAAAGTCGTATTAATTCTGATCACAATAGTCAAAGAGTAAAAAATGACAAAGTGTTCATACTACACATTCGATGATATCAAGGAATGTTGTCATACAATTTTTATTGTTGTTTATTACCTTTTTTATGATCTAAAGTCCAAAAATGTGAGAAAAAAAGAAGAATGTTTGACTAAAGTACGATGTCTTTGTTTTTTAGACGTTTCCTATTAACGATATACTAATGAATTCATTCTGGATGTTTTAGGCCCATTTGATGATGCCATGAAGACAGACTGGGATGTACCTGCTGTTAGGTATCCTGCCATACGGGCCGTGCTGTTACACGTCTCCCCAACGGCGGTCACAGTCACGTTGTACTCCTCTCCGCACTGCAGGGAGCCCGGCCAGCAGTGGCTGTGGTTGGAAGTACAAACGGCGGTGTGGCCTGATGGAGTCGTGAGCACGGTCAGGTAGGACACAGCTCCGACACTTGGTTGCCAGGATACAGCGGCCAAGTGGGTATTGCAGTCCACTCGGGCCTCAATGCTTTCGGGTTTACAAGGTCCTGTGGGATTAAGAAGATTTAGCAGACAGAAATCAACGTAAAACTAGATACATTTAAAAGAATATTGTTACAAATTGAATGTTGTTTGGTGATGGAGAAGTTGATGTCTAGGCTTAAAATACCTTTAGCACTTTTTAAAAATGAACAATTTAACTAGCAGTAACTCCTGAGTGTTCACAATAATGAAGTTTAACTGACTCATTCCATGGCTACTTTATGCTTTAACCCCCTCTTGTTATTCTGTTTTGAAATGCTGGAGGCGTCTCTATGTTTTGTTAGAATGTTAGTTAGTAGAGTTTCATTACCTGCAGTCAGAGAGAGGATGGAGCTGTTTGTGCTGTTGTACTGCTGCCCGAGGGCCTTAACCCACACACTGTACACCGTGCCACATTCCAGTTCTGAGACCGCGCAACTCGTATCTGTGTCTGCCCCGAGACAGGAGGTGGAGTGGCCGCTTTGGTTGTCCAAATATGCGATGTAACCCACAGCGAGTTGGCTCTGCTGCCACGATACAGTCGCAGTAAGCTGCTCACACGCCGTGCTCACTTGAACGTTTGTCGGTGGGCAGGGTTCTAAATCACAAAAAAACACAAGTTAATATCTATCTATCTATCTATCTATCTATCTATCTATCTATCTATCTAT